AATTCTGAATTTTTTTTTTTACTAAGATTACTTTCAGATTGATTATAAACAAAGTTCAATTTTTATCTTTTATATATATGACATAGTGTATACCTCAGAAAACAAAAATGTCTGCATGATAAAGTATTATTTATATTTAATTAACAAAATGCAATGCATAAAACGACAAAAGATAAGTTCAAGATATTTGGGATCATTGATAAAAAATTTTTTTTGTTCTTGCAAGCAATAATTGATTTTGAATTTGATTTTTAATATTTAGTTGTAATTTACATTCATTGGAACTTTTTGTGAAATATTATTATTATGTTTCATAAATAACTTTAGGTTGAATATATTAACATAAATTTAATCAATTTTTTAAATTTATTTAATATCGACATAAATTTAATTAGTTTTTAAAAATTTAAAATAAACTTAAAAGATGAAAAAAATTTATTAGAGATGCAAAAGGAGTTACGCAGCACGTTTTCATACATACATTTAATCTTCCATTTCAGTTTGTTTTTTTTTAACTTAAAATATGATTTACTTTTTATTTATGTTAATCTATTTTTGTGAATATTGATATAAGAGTTACTTAATTATATTGAAACACGAGTAACTATATTCCCGGTAAAAAATGATTTAATGACTAACAAGCGAATAGACAGTTTTACAGCGAATTTTAAAGCAATTTTTTTTTTCTTGCATTAAAACATAATGACAAATCCAGTCGATGCTACATACTGAGGCATCAACTCAGCTAGTCAATAGCTTTTTAGCTGGCTTTTTTTAGTTGTTACTATACGACGATTCAACGGCTACAATGTAACTATAGCCGTCAATCGCTATAGCAATATGTATATACATATGGCGAGTTTTTAGTCAGCGTTTTTAAAGCAATATGTTGGCACACAACTACATATAACATCTTTGCAGTTTGCTAAAATATATTTATCTATTAATATATAAATAAAATCAACCTTGTTTTGAATATAATGGATTTTAATATGCTACACTAGAATAGGGTAAAACAGGGTAGTTTTAATATGGTAAAATGGAGTTTTTCCCCGTTTTGCCTCAACTTTGTAATTTTTTAAAACCATGTAGTTGTACGCGTATAATATATCTAACATGATTGTTATTTTATTTAATTAAACGGATATATAGACCTATAATATTTATCATTTTATTTTGCAACAAATTGTATAAATTAAGCAGGAATCACTGGGCGAAATTTTACATTGAGGTATATATTATACTATTAGGTACATGTTATACTAATAGGTCTAGTTAATTGCTTTTCTGTCTCCTTTTTTCAAATATGGATGAAATTGTTGCAAACTGATTGCTAGTTTTCTTGAATAATATCGAATGTAGTTTGTGACGTAATTCAGATGAGTTAAATTAAAAAGGTATAACTTATTTTTGCTGACATTGTAAAATTATGTGCTGAGTCTATTAACGGTAGATGTTAAACTTTCACAACCTTTGAAAAATAAAGTTTGTTTAATAATCTTTTTATTGTTCTTGAAGACGTTTACATTACCTGAATTAGTTATCACTTTTGTCAAACTATTTCATATGTTAACTATTACTCTTTAAACTAGTTATTTGTGTAGCCCTACGTTGTATGCTTTCAAATTTGTTTATGTTCTGTTGGTAATATAGATTCCATATGTGTGTTACTAACTCCAAGTGTGGACAAATTAACGACGTGAATAAAATTGAACATTTATTTTATAGACTAAAGGAATCCTTTATCTAAACCATTTTTTTATAAGCTCTTGTTGCTATTGTCTTGATGTGTTTTATTCATTTGCCGTACACTCGATGTTATAATATCGAATGTACGACACAAAAGATAATTACAGTTCAAATTTGTTTCGACGATATGCATAGTTTTACAATTTTTTTTATCGAAGTTGAGTAGCAATTTTTTGCTCTATGCAACCAGCTTAGTTAAGTCTTGCTGTAGTATTCAACTATCTTTGACTGTAATAATAAATCTAATAATATGTGTCGTCTGCGTATAGTTTTCCGTGACTTTCCATAAAGATCTCCCTGTTAAATTATTTATATAGATGACAAATAAGATAACAAACATTGCGATACTCCGCTTCAATTCAGAGATCATCTTTATAGATGACGTCATCTTTTTTGATGATGAATCTTTATTCATGACGTTATGTTTGAAGAAGACAAATAAAATAATAATCTTTGCGATACTCCACTTTAATTCTATATTATAATTGCAAGAAATACTCTTTGAGATATAGAGGGGTAATATTTGCACATAACAATAAACTTAGATGCCACAATAAAAAAAAATATTTTTGGTCACTCAAGAACGAACGATCAGATCAGAGCGATCAGAAATATTTGATTGTGGTTTTCCTTTAGGTGTATTGCATCTACTCGTTGATCCAATAGCCAACCCATAAATATTTAGAACTGCAAAGCATGCAATTAATTTTTTCAATATCAAATGTTGGGTAAAAACATAAAATATGCATCGTTATGGAAATTCTGGGAGGTTTTCCTCTTTAATTGTTTAAAACACAGCAGAAAAAGTTCTTTATTTTGTTATCTCAGATGAGTTGGTAATAACTATTCCGATTTTGTTCTCGAAAACTCGAATATAATCTTTAATTTGAGTTTTATTATTCATATATTGATAAATTATTTTAATATTCTTTTTGGGATTTTTTGGTCTCATATTAATCAACAATTTCGTTTTTAGTATCCTTTGTCGTCGTGTTATCAATATTTTTCTATTTCATCTCAAGTTCTTGATCCTTGATTTCTACATTTCTACTCTTTATCCATGAAACCTTTTTGCCTTAAATATTTCCGATTGACTTTTTTAAATCATGGTGTTTTTTTCTTTTATTTGATTAAGTTAACGGTATTAATAAGCAATTTATAATCTTCGGACCACTTTTCATAAAATATGTGGTTTTTAATTTCATTGTAATTTCCTTTATTATAGATGTATTTTTTTTTGGGTAATATTCCACAAGCAATTGCTTCAGGTAAATTGTAATTGTAAATATGTATGTAAAAATATAAAAAATATATATATATATATATATATATATATATATATATATGTATATATATATATATATATATATATATATATATATATATATATATATATATATATATATATATATATATGTATATATATATATATGTGTATATATATATATATATATATATATATATATATATATATATATATATATACATATATATACATATATATATATATATATATATATATATATATATATATATATATATATATATAATATATATATATATATATATATATATATATATATATATATATATATATATATATATATATATATATATATATATATATATATGTATATATATTGATAAATGTTGTATACTGCTGGAAATACAACTCTTGTTTGTTTAATAGTGATCAATATCTTTTTCTTTTTTTTAAAGAAATAGATCAAATTATATTAAAATATTTTAAATGAAAAAAATAAAACTTTATAATGGAACTAAAAATTTCATGCCTTTCGGCAATCATCAGCCATATTATTCAAATAAAAAATAAAAACCGTTATAAAAAATACAAATTTAGCGTTGCAACCGTATCTGACGTCAATTATACGTGATCCGATATTTGCTAATCGCCGGAATCAAAGTTAGATAGTAAAATTTTTTTGCTATGCCTACAAGCAGAAACCAATTCACTTTTTTTGTTTAGTAGTAGTCGACTATCAAAATTCATAATAAAATACTTTTCATTGATGCAAAGGTTACACTTTTTTGTAGATGGGTTAAAAGATTGGCATCTTTTAATTATGTTCCACTTAATTATAGGCATGTTACCCGCATCTTTAAGTTTCCAGATTTCTTTGGAAAGTTCCGTATCATTCCTATACCTGGTTGCATTAAATGATTTAAGATGGTTTGCAAATCTGAACTTGAATGTGTTTTCACTAATTCCGATGTAGGATTTTTCGGTAAGACTGGTATTAGGTGATTCTAAAGTGGCTTTTTATACAACATTTTTTGATAGACATTGATTATTTAACGGGCATGTGGTTTTATTAATGCAGTTGCAGTTTATATCATTATCGGTTAGTTTGTTGCGCAAAATTTGTTGGTTGTGTGAATTAATTATTGATCGAATATTTGGCATACAGCTGTAACTAATTTTTATTGTGTTTCTCTTGAATACTTTGTGGAGCTTATGATTTAATGGAAAATGCAAGTCAATTAAGTTTAAGAAAAGATGTCCAATTTTTGTTATCACATTTTTACTGTAAGGAGGGTTAAACCATATAATATTTCTTTTTCGTTTATTAGTAATAGAACAATTAGGATTTGAATGATATTGGAGAATGGTGTGAAATCCAGACTTTTGTATTGCGTCATTATAAATTGGAGCAGTCTTTTGGAATATATTTTCGCTTGAAGAATTTAAAGATAACCAATGTCCATTTGAGATTGGTAATTGTTTTAAAATGCTTGGTGGATGGTTGGAGTTAGCATGGATATAATTTAACGTACTATCAGGTTTATGGTAAGGTTGAAAAGTGTTGTTATTAAGATTAAATGTAACATCAAGGTTATTACCAAATTTCGTATTAGAATGAATGGAAATACTGAGGTAGTTTTGTAAGCCAGCTAAACCTTTGCGTTTGACGCAAAACGTTAGGCCATTTTTCTTTAACAGATTTTATTTAACTGAACAATGCTTTAATATTTTTCACCTCAATATTAACATTTTCACCTCAATATCAATAGCTGGCTAGCGATCAATCATTGTGAGAACGCATTTGAAGGGGCTCATAAATTTTAACCTCTAGTCTTAGTTTTTTTAGGCGTAAGATTTTAAGCTCTGAACCTCTTCCAAAGATTTAATGATTTGGTTGATTACGGAAAGGTAAAGTCTCTCAGTGCATTTTGTTCCAGAATTTCCATGCACAGATAAACAATAGAACCTCTTTTGCAATTTTTTCCAGAGTTGTGGATTAGCAGAGAAGATTGTAACTCGGTTTGAACATCTCCAAGAAAAGCCTCAGCAACGCTACAACTTGAGGCAGCATTCTGCCTCAAGTTGTAGAGTTGCTGAGGCTACATTTGCCATCATGAATCAAGAAAAATGGAAAACCTATTTTAATGTGGGAGGAGAGTATGCCTCTCCTCCTACATTAAAATAAGTTTTCCATTTTTCTTGATTCATGATGGCAAATGTAGCTAAATCTCCGTCGAGCATGGTTTTGATGGGTAACATTTTATTTAATTCTTGCTGGAACCCACATTTCACCTTCAATTTGGTTTTCAGCTGTAGTTTGATTGGCACTGATGAGCGAAGAAAGTAAATAATATTTTTTAATCAATTTAAAAAGTTCTGTTTTGTCGATAGCTTTATAAAGGGTTGTTTCTTTTTCTTAGTTTTCTTCTTGCATTTGAAGCATTTTTTTTTAATAAAACAAGTCGCTATTGTCTGCATTTTAGGAAAATATTTTACGGAGCGTTAGCAAGAGCAAATAAAAAATGTTGTAAGGTTTATATCGTTTCATGTTTCATAAAAAAAAATCTTTTAAGAAAAATTTGACTGATAATGCGCCTGAAGCCAATGATCCATGTTCTGTGATTAACTTTTATTACATGTTCTTTGAGAATTGTGTCATAACACAATATCAGTTTCAGCAATCCTAAAAAATTTCATTATTAGAATCTCTAATTAGGTTAGGTTTTCCAAGGAAACCTAATCCACGTTCATCAAAAAACAGAATTACATCCAAGAATTACTTACGATTTTTCTCAAGGTGTATTTTTTATTACCACTTTAGACGTTCGAAATTACCTTACTAAGATTATTCTTTATATCCCCACGGACAAAAATAAATGAAATGCAATTAATCTATTGAGATTGTATTGACACAGACAAAATATAATACGTGTTAAAAAACTCCTTGTTACGGCCTGACAATATAATTAAAAAAATCATCATTTAATAAATCGGTTCATATTGTAGGTGACATTAATCTTAATATATTGGAATACGGCAAAAATAAAAGTATTAAGAACTTCTTTAATAGAAGTTCTTTTATATTCCCCTAATAAATAAACCGACGCGAGTAACTGGAGAAAGAGCAACATCTTTAAATCGAATTTTTTTTTTTTAATTTTATATTTTTGCCGTTTAATAAGTATTACAGTTAACAAAAATTTACAATTAAGTTAATGGTTGCAGCATAAAGAAGAAGCCATTAATTTGCCTTATCGCCGAGCACCGTGTTACAATTTATACTTTTTTACAAAGATATTGAAGAATATATAGTATATAAGAAAAATTGAATAAATGTTAAAAAGAATTCAAAATGTAAAATAAGATATCGTTTAATACATAATATCATAAATTGACAAAATAAAAGTAAAAATGATTATATATAAATTTATATACATATTCGCACACTGACACAAATAAGCCAACATATACCCATATATATGAACACACACGAACACACATATATAAATACATATATATATATATATATATATATATATATATATATATATATATATATATATATATATATATATATATATATATATATATATATATATATATATATATATATATATATATATATATATATATATATATATAAATATATATATATATATATATATATATATATATATATATATATATACACGCACATACACATATACACATATACATATACACATACACACACATATATATATACACACACACACACACATATATATATATATACATATATATATATATATATATATATATATATATATATATATATATATATATATATATATATATATATATATATATATATATATATATATATATATACATATACATATACATATTTATATACATATACATATACATATATATACATATACACACATACATATACACACATACACATACACACATAAATAAGTACAAATATACGCTTACACGAGTATAAATATATACACACAAAAAATAAAAAGCGAGAAAATGTGATTTGTGATAATGGTTATTGTCATAAATATTTAACTTTTTTTTTTTTAATGATTACAAGGAACAGTTACCTTGTTTTTATTTATAATTGATATATATGATCTGTTTTAAAAGAAAGACTTATAATAAAATAAATCAAAATGTGTGTTTAATGAAAACTGTTTTGAATCAGTTTTGAACTGATGGAGAGAAATTTTCTTTTCGGAAACAATGTTTGGAAATCTTTTCCAAACATTTTAATTATAACACAAAATTTCATAAACTTCTAACATGTGTCAATAAACGACGCTTCCATCAAAAAATTTCATAAACTCCTAACTGGTGTCAACTGGGACACCCTTCAATAAATCTAAATGCCTATAAAGCATATGATATCTTTTTAACTGAATTTTTTAATCTTTATAATAAAGCATTCCCGTAAGTTACTAAAGTTATCAAAACAAAATTATTTTCAACCCCTTGGATCACAAGAGCCATTCTTAAATCCTCAAAAAATTATATATATATATATATATATATAATATATATATATATATATATATATATATATATATATATATATATAAATTTAGATTTGGGCATGAATATAGGGTTGATCTTATTGAACCCTATTTGTTGCAGAATGAACAAAATTCATTTTTTGTACTACTATATAATTTTATTCTTAAATCTTATAAATCAAGTACTTTTTTTACAGAACGCAGGTTGCGAGAAAAACTTATGTGTGAACAATTCAACATGTGTACCAAACTATAATGACGATAGCAGCACTTGCAAATGTCTTTCTTCAAATTTTGATGGAAATTCATGTGAACGAGGTAAACTATTTTTTTAAATATTTTTGAATTGCTTACTTTAATTGTATTTGCATGTTTGCTGAAATTTAATAGCTGAGTTTTGTAAATTAAAAGCATTTTATTAAACAAGTTTACTCCCAAAAAAAACTTTAAGTTGAAATTTAAATAATTACATCCATAGTTTTGTTCGTTATTGCGTTTTTTATCGATAATAAATATAAGATTTTTATCGATAATAAATATAAGATGAAGCGAAAGAAAAAAGCTGCAGTCTGACTTCATAATTTATAGACTTATGCTAAAAAAAAGATATTTTTAATTTTTTTGATTTCTAGTTACTGCATAGTATTCGTTCAATAAACATTTAGTTCACATTAAAACCATTATTTGTCATTTTTTATGTTATTATTCTAAAGTAATAAAATCTAATTAAAATACAATATTGTGAGCTTGTACCTTGTATAAGTTTGAGACACTATCAATATTATTTATTTATTATTAATTTTAAAATTTCCGAAAACAGTAAAGTTATACGTATTCGATAAAAAAAAGGCGACAACAACGAATAAGAAATAATGGAAATGCAGTGAATTTCTTAGTTACGACTGGTAAAAATTCATAAAAAGCTTTTTTTAAGCTTGTTACAATATATTTTAATTTACTATGTCAGAAAATAACTAACAATTATTAAATTGATAGACTGTCATTTGAAATTGGGTGGAAGATGTCTCATAAAATATATAATGGCAAATAATTTACTGCAAAATGATGATATACATGCACAAATTTTTGTTTCCAAAAGCATTTTTGATGATTATAGTAATAGTTTGTTAATTATTTTGAAATTCATTTATCAAGCCAAAAAAAAAAGTAAAAAAAAAACCAAATAGAACTAGTGCAATATTTGAAAAAAGAAACAAAATTTGACTAGACAAAATTATAATATATTAACATAGAAATTATTATATAATAAATTATTATAGTTTATGCAACTTATTTCTATTGTTAGTATGATGGTTAAATTATTGTTACAATTTAAGGTGGACGCCCTTATTTTTGTTTGAAGATGTATCCGTGAAAACAAACGATTGCATAGTTTCCGAACTTTTGGATAAATACAATTCGAACGAACTTTTATATGTAGCGTCTAAAACTTAAAAAAGATAAAAGCTTATAGAAGCAAAAACTGTTTAAAAAAATATACAAAAAAGAGTTATTGACAGGATCACTGTACCCATTATAACATTTAGTAAAAAAAGCTATAGCAAATGTTAATGTGGAAACATTCAGGTCAGTGAATACTCTGCAGAAGTACCATTACAAGATCTTCTTTTTCATACTGCATCAAGATTATGTTTACCTTATTGTGTTTTATTCACCTGTGTTTAAAGATTGTACTAGAATAATTATAATATAAAAAGCTTGCTTTGATGGTGCAATAGGTCAATCTGTTTATAAACAAAAGTCAAATGGTACGAGTGACCTTAATACTGACGAATCGCTTTTTATAAATTTTTTGCTTCTCTAGAACTATATTAATTCAAAGATGAGAAAATGGTTGTACGGAGAAATCCCAAACAATTTTCAACTATTTACTATAGGCTTCTCAGATTTAAATGTTGAAACGAATCAAAAGAAGTAATTCTTGCAGAATATGAGTCAATTATAGCTTCCATTAAAAATATAGCATTATCCGATGTATCTGTTCTATTGGAGGACGGTACAATGTAGGAAGTTGTTGTACAACAATGTAGGGAGTTGTTGTACAACATATTGGAGGACGGTACAATGTAGGAAGTTGTTGTACAACAATGTAGGAAGTTGTTGTACAACATATTGGAGGACGGTACAATGTAAGAAGTTGTTGTACAACAATGTAGGAAGTTGTTGTACAACATGTTGTATATATAGTTATGATAGGTAGAGAAATTCAAACTATTATTTCCGCAGATACCAACTCCTAACAATGCTTTTCAGTGTGTGGTGCACCTCCAACTTAAATGACCAACCTATCAATCAATAGCTCAAAACGGCAGTATCAGTCATGGTGTTTCAACTTTGCATGCTTGGATAAGGTTTTTAAAACGTATGCTTCGTATCTCTTATTAGATGCTTATTATGAAGTGACAGGCTAGAAATGAAGAAATAAAAAGTATTCTTAAACTAAGAAAGGCTAAAGTTCAAGCTCTACTTCGGAAAGGATGGGTCAAGTCATAGACAATAATTAGTAGGTGGGGCAGTTATATTAAACAATGGTATTAAATCTAGGAGATTTTTTAGTAATACGATGTCTTAGCAAATATAATGAACATAGATGCAAATCTTATGAAAAAGCTTCATGTTGTTCTGGCCACAATGCCATGCAATTATGACATTAACTCATTAAAATTTAATACAATCTGTTCGGAAACTGCTTTTCTATATGTGAGTACAGGTTCATATTCTATGACCTGAAACCTTGGTATAATATGACCTAAACACTTCAGAAGAATTTGATTCATGACTAGAAAAATCATTTAATAATTTATTCTTCCATTATATTATTAAAATGGTCATTTAATTATTGACTCTTCCATTAGGTTCCTTTTTTTTTTGCGTGTTTCAGTTAAAGAGATAAGACTCATTTTATTTTAGAGCTTAAAAAAGAATTGAAAATTACAATAAAAAACATCAAAAAAATAATTTCAAGTAAATTTAAGGAGCACAAAAAAAAACTATGGAAATCCTTAAAAAAACGACAAGATTATTAAAAGTCAAGGAAAAATCTTTTACCTCAATTATTAGTGCAAATCTCAAATTTATTACAGATAGACTAGACATCCTAGAAAAAGACTTTAAGGCGAGTTTCCACTCATCCGTTTTTCAACGGGAACGGGATAGGAAAGGAAAAAATAATCACATGAGCATGCGTAATAAAAGTTTTTATTTGTCAGAAAGAAAACTGCGCATGCTCACGTGATTATTTTTCCATTCCCTTTCCCTTTCCCATAGAAAAACGGATGAGTGGAAATTCACCTTTATTAAAAACAAATTTAAAGTATCAAATATAGAAAAAAAACTTATACGACATTAAGGACAGCCTAAATTTAAAAAAAAAAATGATATTTCGGAAGAAAAATCAAAAATAAAGAAATACTATGACAAAGAAATCAAATCATTCCATAAAAAATCTATAGATCTTGAAAATCGATTAAGAGAAACAACTTAAGAATTGATGGGCTACAAGAAACAACTGGTGAAAGTTGGAAAGATTGGAAAAAAGCTGTTAAAAAAGTTTTTAAAACACTAATGAAAATACCAAGTGAAGTAGTGGTAATTTAACAATTACCACTTTTTTTTTTAAATTTATAACACATACAATACAACTAAGTACTAATATTTTAATTTATTTATGTAATATTTCAGTCTGAATAGTTCAGACCGTAATCAGATGTAAAATTAAATACAATTTGTATTTAATTTTACATAAACAAAAATTTTGACAAACTTAAGCACTTCCTAATTGATTGTAATTATTTATTCAGTATGATTTGTCGAACAGAAACTGGGTGTTCTGACGAATCAATCCAAAACAACTCTAACTCCCAAATATAAACTAATAAATAAACTCAAATTCCCAAATATAAACTAATATCTTCTGAACAAAAAACATGCAAAAAGAGTGGAGGGGATGCAACTTATGTTCGGAATGATCAAGCAATAGAAGTAAGAAAAAACCACTCCATTTCTAACCCCGATAGTAAAGTCTTTACAGTAGAAATCAAAAACTAAGTTTAAAAATATTTTATTTTCTACCTGTTATAGACCACTTAAAAATAATATTAAAACCTTTACTAATTTTCTTGAAAATGTTTTTCTCAAAATTAATAAAGAACTAAAAAAGCTATTTTGTATTGGGGATCTCAACATGAATTGTTTAAAATACAATGAGTTTCCGATTACTAACTTTTTTTTTCAAAAACCTGTTTCAATGCTGTATTTTACCAACAATTAATAAACCCACACGGGTAACCTCAAATTCTTTATCTGCCATAGATAACATAGTAACAAACACATTACTCTAGATACCTTTTTAAAATTAGGAATAGTAAAAGTTGATATAACAGATCATTTTCCAATTTACTTTACCTTATTAAATGATACAAGAATAAATAATAATTTGAAAAAAATAGTTTATAAAAAAAACCTAATTAAATTTTCCATTCAAAATTTTAAAGACACACTATTGGCTGTAAATTGAATTAAGGTATACCAACTCTCTTAATAATACTTTTTCAGATATTTTTCAGAGATTTTATTTTTCAGAGATTTTTACATATCCGGTCGGATATGTAAAAATCATATCCGGTACACCTCTTCCAAACATGTCTGATTCAGATGCACTTTCAAATGAAATGTTTTGTTGCTTTGAAATATTTTATGTTGTTTTCCATGAAATTACTTTCCTTTCAGTCTCTTGTAATTATTTTAATTTCCTATCTAAGAATACAGCCTTTTCTTGTCTATGAACATAGTAAATTAACATCTTATATAACTAAATAACTCTTAAACATAGTACAAAAATACATTTTTAAAACCTGTAATGATTCTATTTTTTAATTTTGAAGAAAAAAAAATTGAAAATTTTAACATTTTATGGGCTAGTACAACCTAGAAACTATTTACTTAAAGTAAACTGAAAACAACACAAAGATTGTAAAGAAGCAAATCAGTCGTTTGAGTTTGATTTCAATTTATTTCATCGTATCCTAATCATTATGAAAAATACTTAAAAAAATTTTAAAACTAAAACAAATCTAAAGGTTACAGTAACCTATTTGAAAAACTAAAAGCTTAAATATATTATTACTCATACCTGAATATATCATTGGTAATAAACATTTTTTATTAAAGATTTTAAAATGGTGGACTCAATTTTAAATTATTAGTTTAGCTTAATAGAATTGAAACGAACCATTTTAGAAAGATAGAACATGACACCTTAAGTTGTAATAAAAATTAACAACCAACGTTTTGTTCAAACAAAACGTTTCAAGGATTTATGGAAGGTTTTAAAGACGTTTTTCTTTGTTTATCTTAAGTAATTGCTGAATTTATTAACCAAAATATGTTTCTTGAAAGAGTAACCATATTTTATAACAAAAATATTTTTATAAAGCGTATATAATAAAATTAGAACAAATGGAAATGGTAACAATTTTTGTATCACACATTTAGATATTCGAAAACCTGAAACAAATAATTTATTCAACAAATAATAACTTCTGCAAACAAGTGGAAGTAGTTTTTAGATGTTTCACTGAAACCTAAACTTTTATCAATGATTATAGTCAATTATTTTTTGATTATTTTTTTCAACTAATTTTTGAGAATAATTGTTATATTTTACCGACGTCAAATAATTTAGTTTTCGACTAATTATAGATGATTTTGAGTGTACATTTATCGAGTGCCATAGGCACAGTTTCATTTATATCAGTTAAAATTTTTGTTTGAGGGACCTTTTTTAGAAAAAAAAAACTTCTCAAGTTTTAAATTTCACACTTTTATATTAAAATTGTAAACAAAACTCATTTTGCATTTGACGTTGTTACTTTTATTTTTTTTTACGTTTTTAACGTAAAATAAACTTTTACAACTTCATAATGATGAAATAAAAAAATATAAGTAAAATATAAGTAAAATATAAGTAAAATATAAGTAAAATATAAGTAAAATAGTCAGGGGCTCAAAGGAGATGTAACTGACAATTTGTCATCACAATCTTTTAATTGAGCCCATTTAACAAATTTCAAAAGGTTATTGTATTATATGTTAATACTCATAAAAGAATTTCAATAAAATAACATTAAAAATAAGCAGTGCGCTTATAAAATTAATATGCAACAAACAAAGAATAAAAATAAAACAAGAACAGATTTAACAACAATAATTCAGGGTAACTTTAACTAAAAAGTATTTCTCAAGTTTTAAAAATATCTTTTTTTTTATTGTAAACTTGAACGAACTTACTAATTTACCATATCTTTAAATCTATTTTGAAAATAATTCCATATTTTTGGCCCTCGATATCAAGTGCTATATTCTGAATATTTATTAAGTATTACTATTAAGTATTATATTACTTAAGTCAATCAAAAAATAATTTGGCTGACAATAAAGTTGTCTTAATTGCCTGTAGATTAAAATCTCAAAATATTAAAAAATTAGAAGTTCATGTTTCAATTTGATGTAAATATAAAAATCTCAAAGTAGTTGGTTAAAAATCAAGTTCTCACAATTTCTAAAAGTTTAAAATAAGATTCAGTATGGGCCATTTTAATTTTTAATAAAATTCTGTTGTTAAAAGACTATTTAAAAAATGTATTAAAAAATTAATTTTCAAATTTTTTAAAACAGAATAATATAAGTGCTACAGAAAAGAGATTCCATGACTTTTGTTTTTTTATACTCTAAGTTTTTTGTTGTTTAGAACTTAAAGTTGTGTTACTAAGATATTCTAGACAGTACAGCTATGGAGTCCCAGTTCAAGCTTTTATACAAGAAACAACTTTTAAACAGAAATCAGGGTTTTCAAGCCCTTCGTGTTTGTTAACATTCTACGATGGAAGTTCTATAAGTAGCAATCTAGGTGGTCAAGCATTTGCTTACTTTGTCCCACCGGAAACTGGAACCTATTATTTTACTATTACTTGCACTTACTACTGCGTGTTATACGTTTCGACAGTTGGGAAGCAAGACAGGCGAATGTATCTTAGCGCTCCGTGAGTAAATTTTTTTCGCCTACTAATATATATAACTAAAAATATCAAAGAATAATTTTATAAAAAATATGTTGTATTTTAAAATATATGTTATTTATGTAAAAATTATTAAACTCTATTAAATTGTATAATTTAGATATATTAAAAGTCCGGGAATATATATAGAAAAAAACAAAAAAAAATTTCTGGAAATGTTGATTACTATTCCGACAGCTAATAAAGATGGTGGTTTTCCTACTTCATTTTCATTGGCTGTAACTTTTCCAAATGGAACGATATCTAATCCAGTTGGCAACGAATATTTAGCATCAATATTTTAAAAAAAATGATAAAGGTTGTCAATTGTCCCATATTTGTGGGGTTCGACATTTTAATTTTAGAAAAATAAATATTTGAGAGAGTTTCCTTTTCATACTTTGGTTCGTGCTCGTGTTTACTTGGGTTCGTGCTCGTGTTTTTACAATTTTTTAAAATGTTTAAATGAGATTTTAAACAAACTTAATTAATTTAAAGGTGATGTGAAAAAAAAGTGATTTGAGTAGAACTTTAAATAAGAACTATGATTTAAAAAAATTTTTATTTGTAAGATAATTGATTTAAATAAACTTAAATAAAGAAAACAAAAAAAAACAAAAAAAACGAAAAAAACGAAAAAAAAGAAAAGAAAGAAAGAAGTACGCGCGTCAAGTGTTTAAATGGGTTAATATGTATATTTGTAATTTTTATTTTAAATTAACTCGACTCTATGGCTAAGCAACCGCTATTGTATATTAATATTTTATCATTTTTATGTAATGATTACAAGTGTTTTTAAAGATAATTTTAAATTGCTTTTTTTTAGATAAATCAATATATTTATTTAAGTAGAAACTTAAAATGAGACGTCCTAATAAATGGAATGCTCTTATCACAGAGCATTCCAAATGGGAATTAAACTAGGAAATTCAGACCCTAATAAATCACCATAAAACCATCTTTGCGTGTCTTTATCTTTTTATATTAAAATTTGTTAGTTTATTGAAAAATCCTAATCTTAATTGTTTTACTTTACACTTGATAATATAACGCAATACAATTTTTTGTTTATCATTATTTCTTATTACATAGTTTTTTTAAATTTATTTCTTTTCCGTTTTTTATGACTACAAAAAAAAAACTAAAAACAAACAAATTACAGTAACATGAAAGCTGCTCAGAGCAGGAAATGTATCATTTGAGTGTTAGTAGAACTTCATATATATATGTATATATATATATATATATATATATATATATATATATATATATATATATATATGTATATATATATATATATATATATATATATATATATATACATATATATATATGTATGTATGTGTATATATATATATATATATATATATATATATATATATATATATATTGTTAGATCGACTTAAATTGGCCTTTTCATTGGTAAAAACTTAGCTTGAAGTGGATTTTTACTTAAAGTGGATTTTTTTGAGTCCACTTTATGTTTTCGATTAGTTTTTAGACTAGAAGTTATAACTGTTAAGAGGCCAATAGCTAATTTTTTCTAATAAGACTATTGCTTCTATAAAGGTTTGCGGATAGAGTGTTTTGATTTAAAATTAAATTTTTAAATTTAAGTGTTTGTTATTTTGACCATGTATCTTTTATCACTGTACGAAACAGCATTTAAAGTGGATTTTCATTTTGAGATTAGGTTTTGTGTATTAATCTTTACAATATTTAATCGAATTATTTTGTTCCATTCGACATTAAAAACCTGATAATTATAAAACTTTAATGAAATGTTAAATCTTTCTTTTTAATAATATAACATAAAAAAATGATATTAATGAGATCGCTAATTCCTTGCTTTTGTTTAAAAAATAAATAAAATTTGTTATAAGTTTTAAATTAAAAAAATTGTTTATCATGGTAATATAAAAGTTATTTTGCTGTAAGAAAGTAATAATATAATTTATAATTTTATATATTTTTAATACTTAAATTTATAGCAATCCTTTTACGCATTTTTGCACTTATTTTCAAGTCCATTTATGGTTGGTTAACTTGTTATGTATAAATCCACTTTAAGCAAAGTTTCAAACATGTTTTATATAAATCCACTTAAAGCGAAGTTTCAAACATATTTTAAACAAATCCACTTTAAGTGAATTTTTTTTCTCCATGTTTAAATAGGTCCACTTTAGGCAAACTTTGAAACGATTTTAAAACAAATCCACTTAAAGTTTATTTTTAAACATGTTATGAGCAAACTTTCAAACATTAAATATATAAATTCACTTTAAGTAAATTTTTTTATTTAAAATCTACTTAAAACGAAGTTTTGAACATGTTTAAGAAAACTGCTTTTAACAGCTTTAAAAAAGCTACTAACACATAACACACAGCTTGATAAATATATATATATATATATATATATTTTTGTAAAATTATACCAAAAAAATTGTTTAAAACTTTACTAAAACTCTATTGAAATTTTAGTTCAACAAGAAATGTTATGCAAAAAATTAGTTTCTATTACTCGAATTCTGCACTTGAATATTTGAATTTCAACAAAAAGAACGAACAGTGTAAAGGTATCATTGACGTTTTATCTAGTACTAAGATTGTAATTACTACCACAGACAATTACGAATTTTAAGGGTTTTCTTAACCCTTAAAATTCGTAATTCGAGTGAGAAAATTTATAAACAAACGTTACTGCATATAGTATTAAGCAATGACCAATAATTGGCAAAGTATGTATAAAAAACATCATATTAATAAATTGTATTAAATAAAAAAACGCAAAAAAATAGAAAAAATAATATGTATATATATATATATATACATATATATATATATATATATATATATATATATATATATATATATATATATATATATATATATATATATATATATATATATATATATATATATATATATATATATATATATATATATATATATATATATTTAAAGGATAACATCTTGTGTGAGAGTATATTTATATATTATTTTAAAACATCAAAAATACGATTTCTCTCAACACTTATAATTTTTTATTATTATAGAAATTTTCGCTGGATTTTAGATACCAGCTTTTTCAGCTTGTTAAATGTTACAGTAATTAGTAAACCGTTATAATTTAAATTAAAACGTTGCTATTGACGTCAGCGGTTGAATGGCTTCTTTTTCGCTGAAATTTAAAAAATGGCGTCCAAAACTTAGTTTTTACGTATTGACCCTCATCGAGATTAATCCCGCCATTTTTTGCAGAACACATGTTTTTTTGTATTTCTAGGGCTTCCCTAACTTTTCTTTCAAATTTTTTATTTTCTACTTTCAATGTTTTTGTTTGTTCCCAAATAATTTCTTTTTTGCAAAATGTTTTATGCAGAGCTAATGCAGATTGATGCTGCTTATTTTCATCAATGCTTTTTTGGTGTTGATGCATTCTTGTGTTTACTTTCATTTTTGTTTCGCCTACATACACTTTTGAACAGTTGCATTTGATTATATATGTTCCTGGTTGACTGTTATATATATATTTATCTATTCTCCCCATAAAAAAGGTTACAAAGTACTTATTGTATATTTTGTACATATTGTATAATAGATACTTGCTGTATATTATTATTTTATTATAAGTGTTGAGAGAAATCGTATTTTTGATGTTTTAAAATAATATATATATATATATATATATATATATATATATATATATATATATATATATATATATATATATATATATATATATATATATATATATATATATATATATATATATATATATATATATATATATATATATGTATATATATATATATATATATATATATATATATATATATATGTATATATATATATATATATATATATATATATATATATATATATATATATATATTTATTTATTTATTTATTTATTAATTTATTTATTTAATAACTGTGTACATGTACAATGACTATGTACGGAGCCTAGTTAATCTAGGCTTTAACAGCCGATTTATGTTAAAAATAAGTCCAACTTTGATTTAAATTGTTTAAGTGTTTTAGAATCTACAATGTTTTGATCTAAGTAAAGGCGAGTTTCCACTCATCTGTTTTTCAACGGGAACGGGATAAGAAAGGTAAAAATAATCACGTGAGCATGCGTAATAAAAGTTTTTATTTGTCCGAAAGAAAACTGTGCATGCTCACGTGATTATTTTTCCGTTCCCTTTCCCTTTCTCGTAAAAAACGGATGAGTGGAAACTCACCTTTATTCCAGCTGTTTATAACACGGTTTGTTAAGAAATAATACTTCTTTGGATTTTTAGTTAATTCTGTATGAAATCTCATATTGTGATCTCTCGTATTTGAAGCTATTTAATCTGTATTCCAATGTTAAATTATATATTTTTTTTACTATTTTGTAAAGTTGGATTAGGTCATTACGTTCGCGTCTTTTTTCAAGAGTCGTTAATTTAAAGTAGGTTAATCTATTTTCATAGTTTTTCCCTTGAAGACACTTTATTCGTGTTGCTTTACGTTGTATCGAATCAATTTTTTTTTTATCTTGTTCTTAGTAAGGATACCACACTGAATTTGCGTAGTCTAGATACGGTCTTACAAGAGAGGTGTACAATAATTTAGATGCGTTTATGTCTAAGTTTTTAAATAAATGTTTTATTATTCCTAACATTTTATTAGCTTTACCAGACACATAATATATATATATATATATATATATATATATATATATATATATATATATATATATATATATATATATATATATATAAAGATATCATTTCACTTTAGTTTATTAATGTATTCGACATCTTTAATAAAAAGAAATCATTATTTGCATGGGTATCGCTGGGGAATCCAGTTTCTTATTTTAAATTTAAATTCCTTCAAAGATGTGAATGTTTTACAATCATTCAGGATTAGTTTCCAAATTTTAGCTCTTGTGTATAGAGATTACAATCAATATTTTGTTGTACGAATATTGATGAAGTTTGGCTTTGTATATCTCAAGAAACTTAAAAACTTTATTTTTAGATTTGTTATTTTACTCTTAAAATCTCAGGATTATTTGGTGTATAGTTAAAGTATCGCTGTTTAGAGTTTCAATTGAGGTTCATAGTCTGTAGATAATTATTAAAGCTCTCTTATGGATTCGATTTATGCGCTTATTTAGTATCTTAATGTGAAACATCTATATAAGTGGGCAGTATGAGAAATTTGAAGTTATAAATGCAGAAAGTATAAGTTTACGTTAGCTAAAAGACATATACGATGCGATTCTTAAAAGTGCGTTTACTTTTCTGCTGGCATATTTGCATAAAGTGTTTACACGCTCTTCGAAAGAAAGTTTGTTGTTGAATTTTATTTGAGGAAATTTAACATTTT